AGACAAACATTCTGCAACGCGTGGGAAAATAGGCTGAGGTCGTGTTTAAATATACTTGATGGCCACCCCTGTTAGATATTATCGTAATTGAGGTGCGGGGTGAGGTATGTAATTACAATTTCCAATTACACTGTTTTTGATTATACTTGTTCGGTCCTTATGTTCAAAGTGTTTGCCTGGCCCCGTACATTGAAATGGCAGGCCTGTTTGGTGATTGGATTGGCCGACCCTCTACAGGATGGGCCGTGCATGGATGTCAAGAAACCTTTTCTGAGCTCACTAATCCATTGCGTATGGAGGCCTTGGGTGCACCGCCTCGCGGCAAAAAACTGGTGTTAGTGGTTCAGTCTTGCCCGCAAGGCCTGGCGGAAGCTTATTGGTGGAACCCCAGTGTAAAAAGAACCTGTAGAATCCCTTTGGTGGTACAACCAGTAGAATTGGGGCGACCATCATGGCGCTTCAGTTGAATCTCAATGGATCGATGGTGAAAGACTAAACACTATTCTGGTGTAGTAGAACCCAATGAAGTTGCAATGTGTACTCTGTTCAATCAGGCTCATGCGCTCCAGCACTCTCTCTCTCTCTCTCTGACCTGTCCGTGATGGCGATGCATGGAGTGGAGCACATGAGAACCCATCAGGCTGTCCAAGTCCATGTCCACGCAAGAGCCATATGCCTGTCGCTCAAAGTGTCGATCAGTGCTGGAGCGCAAAATTGCGAGTAGCTTCTTGCTCCTAATAGTACGGCCAGGAGCCCCAAGTAGCGTCCTTGCTCCTAGCAATGCCAGGAGCCCCCAAGTAGCGTCCTTGCTCCTAGTAGTAAGGCGAGTGGGGCATGGAAGAAGGCCCAATCATCGAAACAATCAAAGCATCGATTGAAGTGGAGACTGCCCTGGTGAGCAAGTGGACACGCAATGCAGGGGAGAGGACACCGATTCTCCTGGGTATAGTTCATGGGTCAGAGCGAGACGAAACGCTGTCTGACTCTTATATGGCGCGATAGGAGACGATGGCGCCGACATGACTTAACGGTTTCTTCATGCATCGTCCCTGGCAACGTTCTTTCTGATTCGCTGCGAGAGTTTTTACGATCCTGACTCTGTCTATCATGAGTGGCCTTGGGGCGATACTTCAGGACAAGTCGGACAACCACTTGAAACTACCAAGACCACAAAGAGTTCCCATTGAGGGAATTCCACCAGCAAGATTTTCCATCTCAGGAAGTCCGAGGCAAGGTGTTTTAGAGCCAAAGGGTTTGAGTGACCAGACCACAACTTTCTGCATGTGCAGTTGCCGCAGAGTGCAGTCAGTAGTTCTTTGGGATCACTTATAGTACGCTCATTATTTCTAATAGCAAACATTGTTACTACTAGTAAGGCACTTGTTACTAGAAGCGATGCACTTGTTCCTAGTAGCGAACATTGTTACCACTTATAGTACGCTGCAACATTTGAACCTTACTCGCGTGCTCCAACTCCCATGCAGATCTTTGTCACAGACGTGGAATCGTCCAAGGCGGTTTGGGGAGACTCGGAGGGAACCGTTTGTGTTTGGGAAACCTTTGGTTTCAATCAGCTTGAGTGTCATGGGTCATTGTGCTAGATCATACAAGCTTCAAGGATGCGTTTTAAACATACCCACGACAAAAATTGTCAGACCAACTCATCCATGTTCACTTTGAGGAATTTGGACATTGCATTCGTTACAGCTTCAATTTCCCAGTTTCGAAAACAGATTCTTCTCCGAGGAGCGTGTTGATGGCTGTGTGCCACCGGACCTGCCAAGTCAAGAAAATTCAAGTTGCTACAATTGGTACAATATGCTGACGGGATGACGGCCTTTGATGCCCACCGTGAGCAGATAGGAGCATCTAGAATCTAGTACTTAATGACGTGTGTTTGCAGGCATTGATAACTTTTGACTACTTGACTATGTCCCCCTTTGACCAGCACAGATGCACCCTCTTTTGCAGTGCTACTGTAACTGTTCTGTTGGCAGGACACTTGGCAGAGTGAGGAACCCAGTCAGGTTCACGAAAGCATTCGGGTGCATTAAACACAAGTTGGATTTTGATGCTAATCCAGAGTTGTGAAGGGTCTTTTGGGAAGTCACGGGAACCACTTTGTTTTGATTTGCCCTTTCATAGCCTTGCTATTTAATCACATTGGATTCACATTGTCGAGTGGCTGAGGTACTGACGAGTGCATCCAAAGGATTGCCAAAGAGCACCGGGTGCCAGTCAGAGGCTCAGGGTGAAGTCCACGTCGGTGGCTAAGAAGCTACTAGGAACAAAGGGCATCGCTAGTAGTGACAAGGGCATCGCTGCTAGTAGCATTGACTGAGCTCCTTGGCGCCCCAGAATGACAAGCCCTTGCAAGCCCTCACAATGCCCATCTCGCATGGGCTTACACAGACTGACCGACAAGGGGTGATCTGTAGGCCTACGGACTGACCTGTGGGCAGAAAAACTGAACATGCCAATGCTCTTTGGGTGCCAGGCTAGGCAAGTGGTGATCTTCACTGCTCCTTGGATCTGGAAAGATGAGGGAACATGGTTCAGGAGAGGAGCTTTCGTATGTTTTCGTGGCGTTCTTGGTGGGGTTTGATATGAGGTGATGGGGTTCAGTTGAGGTCCATTGGCCACACTTTCTTGAAGGCAGACTTGCTTGTGGGCCCCTGGAGAAGCACAACACCACTATTGAAGTTGCTGAGTCAATCAGCTGTACCTCTCACCTCCTAGCATCACCTTGAGGCTTCTAGAGCTTGCGAACAAGATGGAGGTAATGAAGAATGGACGGGCATTCGTGTGCCGAATGCAAAAGAAGGCCACTCGTGATGACATTTTTGCAGGTGGATCTGGGGACCAGCGGAGGTGATGGGGCTCCGTCGGCAAGGTCTTACTCGAGTATGGGTCCTGAGTACAACGGGGTGCCGGTTTGACTTGCTATAGTGCATCATTTTTTCAAGAAAACACACAAGACATTGCCAGCTTTGAAGTCATGAGTCGTTGACCTACGCTCGACACATCCGAGAGTACCGGAGGCTTCCGCTACAGCGATCTCCAGCTTCCAAGCATGGAGGAGGAAGGCCTTCTCGGCTATTGAGGGAAGATATCTTGATAGCTGTTGAACACCTTTTAGTATGATGTAGTATGTTGATCTCTAGGGCGTAGTCAGCGCCAAGGATGTCTCCAGATTTCCGGTCGGATATGGCAGTTGACATAGCATTGACACGATGTCCCTTGTGCCAGGTCCTTTGTCCCTGCCGTTGACACGGTGGTGGAACCAGGTGTGAGACAAGGGTGCTGCATGTTGGCGTTGGAGCCTTTTGCAGGTGTCTTCCGAGGGAATCTGGTGGAAGGTGTACAATTGACAATCCGGTGATCCGGCAAATGATCCAGTGGACGATGACTCATATTAAACATCATTAAACAAGCACCGACTTGGCTCAGGCCGTCACGCTCATCACTTCGAAAAGACCTTGATTTCGCCCAGAGAAACGGCCGATCCGGGACTTGGACTCAGTGCTTTCACCATTTCATACTCTCTTTTGGGACCTAAGAGGTGCATCGAAAGCACCGAGCTTCCAGTCAAACCAGCTTGGGTGAGGAAGTGCGAGATCGGATCTCTCGGTAATTGGTCCAACAGACTTGAGAATGGGCCGAGACGGCCAAGGGTCAAGTGGCTTGTTGGGTGTTCACGTCTTTTGAATGCGTTCTTGTGCTGCATTGCGGGCTACTGTAACGGCGGGTGTGCATCGTGTGAGCTAGCTTTGGGCTGATGCAAGGCATTGCCTGTCGCTCATGTGGGAGGCTCCTGGTTTGGGAGTTGGCAGAAGATCACGATCGTCGGATCCTTCCGATTCGCAGCTTTGGCTCAGATAGATCACTCTGGTTAAAGCGTCGAAGGGAAAGCCCCTAGACTGTTGGACACAGAGGTTCAAAGATCAATCAACACCCCAATATGACATACACACACAAAGTCTCACAAGGTGGCTTCCTTCATGGTGCTTTCATTGTAAGCTTTTGTGAATGTTGGTGCACTTGCAAGCTAGTGACAGCTACAGATACTTGCAGATTGACGGTTACACAAATTCCTGCGCGATGAGAGAACCGCGAACGTGACAGAATGGCGCTGGAGGAACGGCATATTTTGTGTGGGCTATATATTGGGCACGAATCCTCCTTTACTTGCAAGGACATGTCAATGTGTCACCACTAAATGGTCAGGTCTGAGTGGTGCGAATTCCGAACCAATTCTCTCACTTGAATTTCTCCCTTGGCAATCTTTGGGAGGCGGCAACCACCCCCGCGGGTGGGGGACATGTTGGAAGCTCAGAGTTGAAGCAGGTTTGTTTTGAGCTGGTGGCTGTCGGCTGCCTGGCTCCAGACTTGTGACAGATGACCAGAAGAATATTCAGGATCCTACCCTACCAGGGCCCCAGAATTAACTTGCAGATGACCCTGTTGTGCTTTAATGCCTTCAATGCATTGAAGCCACGTTGTTTGGCTTGAGGCAGCGGCTCATTTCCTGAGTGTCGGTGAAGGCCTGCCCTTGGTATTCTTAGGCGGTTTCCGCGTTTATTTGTGGGCCGTCTAGGAGGATGTGTGAGTCTCTACTCTAATGTAGTTCTCGAACCACATGTCCCCGCCACAGGCAAGTCAGTGAGCAAAGAGCCCTGAGCCTCAGTTGACGGAGGTTCGCATGACCGTAAAGAGTAAGGTAGACCACGGCACCAACCCACTAGTTCGGCCGAATCTTCTTAATTTGAATGCAGACACGTGGGCCTGAGCACCCAGTTTGTCGAGCCTCTTGAGAGAGAACAGCATGGGTATACAAACACGAACCTGGATCAGCTTGGCACCCTTGTTCGGGTCTGAAAGATGACAACATTAACGTGTATGTAAACACTTAAAACACTTAATGTTGCAACATCAAAACACGCTTAAACATTTGTTGGGCAACTGGTACACCGTCCTTCGGGCAATCCAGACGCGGGCACCCCGGACGTTGGTCCCGGCTGAGGAGTGTGTCGAGCTCCCCGAGCGCTAAGAAGTCCTGCATGAAGAAGAAGTCCAAGGATGTGGGTGTCCTCAGTGCCCGGAAGCAGAAGCCATGGCACCTAATGGTGAGAGTTATTCCCCAAACAGTGTGGTCACACTAGGGGTTCTTACGGTAGTATATAATAGTTAAGGGCCGGTGTTTTAATCGAGGTGTTGCATCGGGGTGTCCGGCTAATTCAACGCTATGTACAGTACATTCATGTCTCTCGAAGTCCTCGAAGTGCATTTCGACTGCGCAGGCTCGCAAAATCTGGGTGCAAAGTCGACTTTTCGTGACGTGCAAGGGATCGGAGCGGTTTTACTTCGAAACGCAGATTTCGTGGGCAGGCGCAGCACTTTGGACATGGTGGTGATCTTCGACGCGCTCTGATTTCGTGACAGGTGCAGTGAATCGTGACTTTTCTACATGTGGCTCGTTTTCAGAAGTCGGGGGAAGTCTCGCGCGACACCTGCGCTTTGGCGTCTGGATGTTGTGTTTGGAAGCACTCTTGCGGCGAAACGCCTTGGCAGAGCTGTGGCATGTGAATCATGAAATTTCGTGGCAGGCGCAGCATTTGTGAACCTCAAAGTGCAGACTTCGTGGCGTGCACAGCACTTTGTGAACCTCAAAGTGCAGAGTTCGTGGCAGGCGCAGCACTTTGTGAAGCTCGAAGTGCAGATTTCGGGGCAAACGCAGCACTTTTGTGCACCTCGACATTCTCGATCTCAAGATCGCTTTGTGTGCTATCTGATGCGTGCTCTCTAGACCTCGACCTCTAGATCTCCAGAGCTTTCAAACTCTAGCCTTGAGGCCTTTAGCAGAGAACTTTTGATATCTCTCGATCTCAAGACCTCTAGTTCGCCAGACCTTTGGACCTTGCGACCTAGATCTATATTTTTATATATTTTACAAAAACCTTGCATTGACTCGGCCTGGATCTCTTAGTTGATTGCTTTGATTTTTTGGACCTTCAGATCGTTCTCTCGTTTTTTAGATTTGTAGACCTCTAGACCTAAAGACCTTTACAACTAACTGTGTGGATCTAGGCATTGAGTTTTCTTTTTAATCTTGATCCCTCTTAATCTCTACTTGGATCGCTTTCCCGACCTCTAGACCTTTGTCGCCTAGAGAGTATTGTTTCTAGGCCTCTAGAAGTAGAGATTGTTTTCCCTTCCCCTGTGATCGCGGGTGCTCTACCTCGGAATTGTCCTTCATTACACTGTTAGGGGCCTCTTGCCGGATAATTCTTTTCTTGCTTGATTTTGTTTGTTTGTTCAATATTGTTTTGTTGTTGAACAGCCTCGACCATTCTTGACACATTTGGTTGACACACATTGGAGGTGATTTTGGAAGTTTGGGACACTTGTTTTGGGAAAAAGAGATCCTTCCAAGTATTGATGCTTGGGTTGGTGTGCTCTACGTGACGTGAAGGGGCTTGAAGAGCCCGCCGGACCAACGCTTCCATCTCATACTAGCAGAGTTTCTGTACTTTCATGGTTCGCCCGGTTGAGATGTCAACATGTTGATTCAATTTTTGTCCAATCGATCCCCTTCGATTTCGCCTAGTTGAGCGAACAACGCGTTCGCTATTGCTCCCTCGAAGTTCGGTCATGTGCCAACTAATTGTGGCAGGCCATTAGGTGCGATGAGAAGTGGATGCAGGCCTTCCGGAACCTGGCGTCCACTTGTGGGAGACCTGAGTTGGGAAGGAGAAGGCATTGCCTTGCGGAAGGCCACGTTTTTATTGTTGGAGTTTCTACATGATGCAGAGCAATGACCCAACCAGTAGGGTGTTGCTTTCCTCAATGCAAATCAGAGAGTATCTGGAGAACACTTCAGCGACTGTAAAGGTCTTACTAAGAGTAAATCTTTATACCTCTTTGGTTTTGCGTTTGGCCTGAGCCCGTGACCCTTCCCAACTAAAGAGAGGCCCAGGGAATGGGTCACCTTTTCGGTGTGGGAAGGGATTGGTCTTTGAGGGGTCCACTTTCCATCGTTAGACACCAACCAATCAAACATCCTGTTGCCATCCAAAGTGGAAACGCCTTGAACTCTTGAGGCAGCATCTCCCAGCATCTCCCAGCTTCCAAGGCAAAGCCAATGTGAGCGATGAGATCTTAGCGGAGCGACCCTGGCGGATCTTCAGTTATGTTCAGTTGACTGGTGCAGGTTCGTTTGGAATGGTTAACTCGTCTCCTCCCTCTTTTCCATCATGTGGGAAGAAAGGTAGCACAATATGTTGGTGAGGCTTCGGTGAAGCCTATGATCGGGCCGTGACCAATTGTACACAGGAAGTTAGCTTTGTCTTGGTGATCTTTTCGCAGTGGAGCTACTAGTATTACTATAAAATCTTTCATTGGAGAGAGCCTGTTTTCAAAATTCAACAAAATCAAAAAAACGAAAAAAGTTAATGCCAAAAGTCAAAGTCACAAAATGTCAAATCAGAAAGTTTCAGAAAGTCAGAACAAGTCAATTTGCCCAGATCCGATTTATTTTTTTTCGTTTATTTTATTTTTTACTTTTTTGTCATTTGTTTGATTTTTTTTGGGTCTTTTGTTATTTCTATTTTGTTTGTCATTTTTTTGACTTTTTGAATTGTTGACTTTTTTTTGTGTTTTTCGATTTATTTATTTTTTTTTCGACTTCTTTTTTGACGCTTTGTCGACTTTTTTGACTTAATTTTTTCTTTTTTTCGAGCTATGGTCTATGGTTGACTTTTTTTGTTTTTTTTTGACTTTTATTTGTTGACTCTTTTTTGACTTTTCAATTTGACTTTTTCTTGACTTTTGACTTTACCTTTTTTTTTTGGAGGGGACTGTTTTTTTTTTTTTGGGCTTTTCAATTTGGATTTTTCTTGCCTTTGACTTTTCCATTTGACTTTTTCGAGTTGTTTTTTTGATTGTGTTTCTTTATTTTTTTCTTTAAACAAAAACAATAACTTTTTTTTTGACTTTTTGTCGACTTTTTTTGACCTTTTTTTTTGACTTTTTCGAGCTGTGGTCTATGGTTGACTTCTTTTTTCGACTATTTTTTTTTTGACTTTTCAATTTGACATTTTCTCGACTTTGACTTTTCCATTTGACGTTTTTTTTTTAACTTTGTTTAAATCAAGGATTCTGGCCTTACCATATGAAAGAACTTTATAGTACTAGTAGCATCCTTGCTCCTAGTAGCGATGGCCTCCAACCTGCTAGCGATGGCCTCCAACCTAGTAGCTTCTTGTTACTAGTAGTTGTGGCGGTGGTCGTTTGGATGTGGTTGGGAAGGACTCCCCTTTTTGAGCCAGGTGCGCAAGACTCGCGGAGAGGTTGGCCCCACTCGCATCATCCTCAGAGCTTGTCCGCCCATCTTGCATGCCCAGTCCGAGCTGCCCCTCATCCCCATCATGGCCCCATCGTGGATTTCGTACGAGGTGCTTGCAAAAAGCATGTTGGTGAAGGGAAGCATCTTCCCAGCT